GATAAGTCCCATGTATTTCAATGGAATTTAAGCATGATCTACTTCTTGATGGAACTTTAACCCGATCTCGGGTTAACTAGAGTGCCATATTCAAGTTTCTAGTCAGCAACATTCACAAGTTGCATTTAATGCAGTTAATGGGAATCTTGTGTGCAAAAGAAATGAGGCCTCAATTCAACTACTTGGCAAGAACAGTAAATAAATCAATGCTGTTATTTTTGCATCTAAGTAAGGCCTAGAATTTAGACACATAAATCTAAAGGGGGAAGAAAACTATTCTCATTTCTGGCAATAAATGCAAAGGGGATGGAGACTTAATAGAACATAGAATAATAGGGTTGGAAGGGATCCACAAGGTCTTCTAGTACAACTCCCTCCTCAAAACAGGAGACCCTGTACCACCACCCCAATCAAATTGTTGTCCAACCTATTTGTGAAAACCTCCAGTGACAGAGACCTCACAACTCCAGAAGAGAATCTATTCCATTGATTAATTGTTCTCACTGTATGAAAATTTCTCCTTACATTTAGATTGGATCTGTCTTTAACAAGCTTCTGCCCATTATTTCTTGTCCTGCCCTCTGGTGCCTTGGAGAATAAATCATTCCCTTCTTCTCTATGCCAGCCCCTTAAGTACTGAGAGACAGGCATCTTGTTTCCCATCCCCACTAATCCTTATCTTCAATAGGCTAGAAATACCTTGCTCCCTCAACAGGATTTAGTGTCCAGATCCTTTATCATCTTTGTTAGTATTTTAAACCAATCGGATAATGGATTGCTAAACTACTTGCATATTAGAATAAGGATTATTTTCTTTAGCCCAAGAACTGCCTTGATTTCAAGAATGCACATCACAGCATGCTGTGCCAGCACGCTGACAATGGGATTCCCCACAGTTTCTACATGCCCTGCTCAACACAGAATGTTCTCTGTTTTTCCAAGCCAGCTTCGCTTGCTAGCAAAGGGGAAACTACTTTCACTTATTAGAAGTCTTGGGTTTAACCTAACAATGCCTTCAGTGGAAGTAAAAATAAATATCAGAATGTATGCCTTTCTAAAAAGATATCTAAGACAGGGACATACGATGTGGCCATCCTGCTGAATCTAAACAGGTATATGTCTCATGAATGAAGGCAATATGTGTTTAGTCAATGCCTGGTAAGAGATTATCTGAAAACCTCCATGAATATCTTTTGAATTCCATGATGGGAGAAAGGCAGCATAAATGAATTAAATTAAATAATACAGCATCTTACAGCAACCCCAAAACTAGTAAGAATACATGGACCTACAATGAACTCTACCAGATACATTGGCAGTTTTGCATATCTGATTAAATTATTATATAATTCTTCGTTTACTGCTTACCATGTTATATGAATCCAGACAATTGTCACTTATTCAAGTAACCATGGCTTGAACCCAATCACTGTTAAGGATCGCATCTGCATATTTGATGAAGTGGAATGCTGTCCAAGATATTTGATCTGTATTAAATTTGTTGTGGCTCCACATTACAGCTGCCAAGTTTAGCTACAATTAATTGTTATCTTTTTCCTGCTGTCTCATCATCTTATAAACGATATAAAGCTTCAGTCAAGTAAACAAACATCATTTTCCTGAGTAACACAATTTCTATCAAATACTCTTTTTATCACAGTAAAGCTTTTTTATTGTTTGATTTTCAACTACATTTAAGACAAACACTTGCAATGCAATCCTTTCAAAGCAAATGGAACAGAACAACATAGTCTGAATTTTTAAATTTTGACTGCTGGGCTTATTACATAGAGATATTTTATCTAATCTTCGAAAACAAGAGTAAAAATACATAATAAAATAGGTTCCAATTGTACACACCAACAACCTAAAGGATCAGAACAGTGATTAGTATTTCAGATGATTTTAAATTTTTGTTAACAGTATCATACATATGAAAAAAATCTGTAAGATCACAACATCAAATGGCTATTTTTTAAATTCCAGATTGATTAAAAAGATGAAAGGACAGGACTTTCACATTTTTCTTACGTTCCCCAAACAGGAACGCAAGGTCCTCCACTTTTGAAGAAGACTGTAGTAGTGCAAACAGTATTAAGAGACAAGCAATCCATTCCACTTCCTTGTCTGTGAAGTTTGATGGCTAAATAAGTCTCAATGTTACAGTATCAACACTTACTGATTTAAAACAAAAATAAATATTTCTTGAACAACCATTTGCTTTCCATAAACAAGCAACCTGAAGAAGTTATGCCACAGTGTACAGTTCATTTCAGTGCAAAAGTTACATTTCAGGACTTTCAGAATGAGATTAGCAGCTCTTTCAAGAAAAAAATAATTGGGAATTAGCTACAGTACATGAAAAAATGCAGCCGTAATACATGAAAACAAAATAGTAATGCAGAGAAAAGTTATGTTTGCAAAGTCAGCCAAGTATTTGTTTTCAATTTCTTCCTGAACTCACCACCATTTTTAAGAACTGGATTTAAATAATAATACCATAAAGGCCTCATAAAAAATCCAATTGAGTATAATCTTTATTTCAGTTCAACAAAACCAGAATATAAATTTTTACTGTGTTTGTTGACATTCATTCCTTGACATTTCTTTCTTCTACCCATTTGCTGTAATCTCAGGTGGTATTTACATTTTAGGTCTCTTGGAATAAAGAAGATCAAACGCTTTTCTTGATAATATATAAATCTTATTTACTGTCTAACAAGGATTGGTGAAAGTAACTCACACTGTGAAAGCATTGTATTTTTTTTTTTCGGGGGAAGAAAGTAAAATTATAAACATCACTGTTGAGGTCTTACTTTTACAGGGGAAAATGGCAACGAATTCCATGAGAATGTAGAAAAGTATGAGGTAGCAAAGGTGAGCGCCCATTGTGCTTCCTTAATATGGCTGCTGGAATCAGGTAGGACAGGAGATGGGGGTCTAAGATGTTGCTAAGATGGAGTCACATGAAGTTATCCCTGGTGCAGCTCTCCAGACCTTGCAGTAGTTAAGATACAGAGGATTTTATTTTCTTCTTCCCTATTCCTCATTTGGGCAGCTTGGCCATACATTGAAGTCTTAATTTATACTTCTATTTTTATCACTAGAGAAGCATTAGTCAGATTTTTCTACTTAACCCAACACATGGGCAAAGGAAGCTATTACCAATCCTGACCCAGATCACAGAAGGAAAGCTCTCTAAAAGGATTCTAATCAAAACTTTTGGGAGGTTTCTGGCCTGATGTGCCATCATCGATTTAATATCAAAGGCAAAACCTGGGAGATCTCTCCTCCCCCCCCCCTCCAAAAAAAGTTCATAATCCATAGGAAACCTGCATCAGACTGTCCTATATAATAAATGCTATTTTAGTCATGCCTTTAACTTGAATAGTAGGGGACGTATTGAGTCAGTCATCTTTCTTTCAAGGATTATATAACATAGCAAGCATGAACTATAATAAGGCTTTGAATACAGTTTGTTCAAAGCAGTGAATATTGTATAAGAGTCACTTCTTTGCATCTGGGCTTTAGGCAGATAACAAAGAAACTTTGCAGTTTTCTCAGTTTATGAAACTGGCTCCTGTCCCGCCTTGTCGTCTTAGTGGCATTAATAATGTAGAGGAACCACTCATTCAATCTGTTTGTCAACGCATTTCAGGAAAGGATGTGAGAGGAGATGAATGAAGAGTAAGGATAAGGGAAATTAAAACCATAGACGAGGTTCTGTACTAGAAAGCATCAGGAAAAGGGTAGAATCCTTTAGGAACTGAATATATTAAGATTTGGAAATCTGCGTTAAGGAAAAAAATTGCCTTGCATTATAGAGAAAAAGTCCTTTTCAGGGGGAAAAGGTTCATTTAGTAAGAATTATTACACTCACGGTGGCCACAGTTTGTTCAGTGTCCACATAAGGAATGAACATCTTTTTTCCCCTTTTGGAGGCAAACAAATGTAAGTAAGCTTTAAAGGAAGGTTTTCAACTAAAACAACTGAACAAAAGAATAGCTGATAATGAATGATTTAAAAACATGATGGGAAGGGAAGGGAAGGGAAGGGAAGGGAAGGGAAGGGAAGGGAAGGGAAGGAAGGAAGGAAGGAAGGAAGGAAGGAAGGAAACATAAAGAAAAATAAGCTTGCAAGCTTTGGCACTCGATTCTGCAGGCCACCATGCACGCACTCACACAAACATATGTATGTACAATAGTTTGGCTTTTTTGAGGGGGCTGATCCTGGCAAGTTGTTAAACAAAAAGGAAGGCACATCTGTCCAAAAAAAAAAAAAGATGAGTTGCTCTTCTCATGCTGAGTTTTGTCTATATTTGATTGCTTCCCCAACATTCCTTCAGCCCGTTTATTATGAGCAGGTGAAGGAATCGTTATCATAAGACTATGAGTACTAGTTCTTCCAGATCTCTGATCCATATAACTACTAAGCATCATGCGCAATTCATTTATAATCTACTCTGCATAGTCTTTAATTTAGCAAGCTAGCAGTTAAAAAGGAGGGAAACATGGCAAAGCACTTTCAAACACAGATGTCTGAGAGGCAAAGATCTCCTAGCAGAAGAGATGGGACGAGAGTCACTTAGTTCAAGTACAGTACAGTCACGTTGGATCGGGTGTCTCCCCAAAAGTTGTCCAAAACCTTTCCGGTTCCTACCACAATGGCTCTAACAAAGGCAAAATCCAGGATCAACTCTCATGTGTTAAGGCCAAAAAGACTTCTTCAATTAGTGGGAGCAGAGTAAGATGCAGCATATTTTTAAACCCAGGCTCAGAAGGAGGCTGCTTTGTAGTTACACCTCTACCCTGAATGAGAGCCTTTGCTAACTGGCATGGCTCTCCTCTCTACTGAATTCCAATTTTGCCATTAAAAGATACTGTTTTCTGGAGAGACAGTAGCATGGTAAGAATAATCACCTACCTGAAGAACCAGTCACACAAAATGCATTCATTCAAGCCTCCGACACCAGAGACTTTATATTTAACTGCACTTATCATTCAACTTGTGCATCGGAACCGTATCAATTTATGAAATGCTTGTTTGAAGTCTTCGTTGGACATAGTGTAGATGATAGGGTTGATCAGAGAGTTAAGATATCCCAGCCACGTGAAAAAGTCAAAGATGGCCACGTGGAACCAGCAAGCATCTTTACAAATAGGCAACACTAAACTAATGATAAAGAAGGGTAGCCAGCATACAATGAAGGCTCCTAAAATAACCCCTAAAGTCTTGGTTGCTTTCCGCTCTCTGGCAGCCATCAGTTTCTTTTTTTCCAGAAAAGCATCCGATACCTTCACCTTGACCTGGTTTGTATATACAGGAGACCCCATTTCACTGGATGCTTCTGAGACCTTGCAATTTATAGAAGTGACCGAAGATGTTGACCCTGGGGAATCTGTTATTAAGTGAGCCCGAGTTAATCTTTTGCCGGTGTTCTTTGGCGTCTGTTTCAAAATCCGAGATCTGGCCTCCACATAGATCCTTCCATAAAGGATAATCAGCAGCAAGGTAGGAAAATAGAACGCCCCCACGGTGGAATAGATAGTATATAAGATGTGGTCTGAATTCACCACACAGTTAGACGTCTCTTCAGCTTTAGACTGCTGCCAGAAGAAAGGAGGGATTGAGATGGAGATGGAGAAGACCCACACCAGGACGATCATGCCTGCTGCTCTCTTGGGAGTCCTTTTAGTCGAATACTCAACTGCATCTGTGATGGCCCAGTATCTGTCCAGGGCAATCACACACAAATGGAGAATGGAAGCAGTGCAACAAGTGATGTCTGAAGAGAGCCAAATGTCACACACAATCTGGCCCAGGGTCCATTTCCCAGTCACAGTGTACATGGTGCTGATTGGCATGACCAGGAGAGATACCAGAAGGTCAGTGACCGCCAAGGAAGCTATGAGATAATTGGCTGGGGTGTGGAGCTTACGACTCTGGTAGACAGTGGCAATAACAAAACCGTTGGACAATATTGTGGCCAAAGTGATGAGAGCCAAGATGACGGTGAGAACCACCTTCCAGGAGAACGGGGTGCCATCTTGGTAGATGGAACTTTCTTCAGGACTGCAATTCCTGGTCTGGTCCGAGTCATTGGCGTGGAAGGCGTTTAGGCCTGCGGTGGCTTGGCAGAGCCTAGCTTGATCCATGCCTCCAAAGTTGCCGGGGAGGGGGACTCAGCTCAGCAATCCGAGGAGGGCAGCGCCCTCCTCTCCTCACGCCACCCCTCGAGAGAATCCAGCCCGGGGACCGAGGGCACACGAGCCGCCTGGGCGTCGGGGCCGGCAAAAGGGAGCACGTGCGCGCGGCTCTTCCAATGGAGGCGCCTCCCGCCCGCCGGGCGGACCATGGCTCGCCCCGCCGCCGCCGCCGCCGCGCTCTCTTCCCCCTCTTCTTTGCTAAAAGCCAAAGCCGGCGCCTCAGCACGTGCCGGCCGCCAAGCGAGGACGTCTCCGCCAGCGGCAGCGGCTGCCGATTCGGTGGTCGCGACGAAGAAACATCTCTCCTCGGGGTTGGGGTGGGGGAGGAGAAGCCGCGGAGATACTAAGTTCGACGCGACGGATAAGGCGGCGGCGGTGGCGGCCGGAGGAGTTTTCTTTCGTTTAGCGGAGGTGGCGCTCACGATTCCCTGGGCGAGACGGAGCGGCGAAGAGACCGGGAAAGGGCTAAACTGGTGCGGTTTGCCACCGTCGTTGACCGGGCGTGACTGGACTCCTTTTCTGTCGCGGAGGCGTAACTGGACTCCATGGAGCCAGTCCCACAACTTTTGAAGAAGCGGGCGGGCGGGCGGGCGCCTAGAAGGTAGGCAGCGCAGCGAACTCTCGGGGCGAGGGTCTCTCCCAGGGCGGAGCTCAAGTCCGGCGGACGCAGACTTCTCCGGCAGAGGCGGCCGGAAGGCGCGTGGTCCCTGCCTCTGCTTTGCTCCCTTCTTTCTCTCTCTTTATATAAGTGTATATACTGGCCCGCCCGCTCAGACTCCGCTCCGCTCTGCGCGAGCTTAACGAGGCAACTCGTGGTCCTTTCTCCCAGAGCTCCGGGCTCCCGGCCCCTCGCCACCGCCCCGCCTCAGTCTGCCCCGAGAGGATTCCGCCGGGTCCTAAGACCGACCCTTCATTTGCCGCCGCCGCCGCCACCCCTCACCCTCTACAGTACACAACCCGTTAGGAGCCTTAAAAGGTATCCTTTCGCCAAACCGTGTCACAGTGGGGATTCTGCACTGAGTTGAACCGAGCTTGTGATCTCTTTAAAATGTAATTAACGACCTATAACAGCAGTATAAACGACACTAACGGACACTAAGCACAGTTGTGGTGCTTAAAACGGAAAGACGCGAACTGAAAAATACCAACCGAAACCGAGTCAAGAGAAGTGGCGGGAAAAAAAAAAAACAACCATCAACACCCCCTCCCCCCCTCCAAACTCGGCATCGCTGCTTTTAGGTGATGTGCGGACCCCTCAATCAATGTAGTTTTGGGGTTGTCTTTAATGGACGATAAAACCTTCATATTTTAGGCGCCAAGAATATGCCCCACGGCTGAGGGAGACCCGATTGAGAGGGTTTCTCGACTCCCGCGTGTGGTTTGGGGAAACCTCTTTCTGCCCTTTACTAGAAATAGGAGATGGGACTAGAGGGAGAGTAAACAGGAGGGTTTCCTTACTCTCTTATGCGGCTTTATCCCGCGTTCTTAACTTTCCCTTCCACCTATCCTAAGTATCGTTATTGTGCCCTTTTGCTCTGGTTTTCGACTTCTGGCTGCAATCTTAAAAGAGACACTTTCCTGGGAGTAAACTTTGGGAAAGCCAGTGGGATTGACTTCGCAAACTTGTATAGAATGGCGCCGTTTCTCCAATCGGTTGAAACAGGTTCAAAAACAATCTTGGTTTTTAATTGTGAATTCTGCTCGGGAGTTGTTCCCTTCTTGACTTGTGACTGGTTTTTTTGGCGAGGGAGTGGGAGAATCCTGGGAAAGACCGTTGGGTTTTCTCCTACTTTGAAACCGCTTCGTCCTCTCGCAGGCTTTCACCGCGGAGGATTCAGGGCTCCGGCTGACTGTGCAAATACGGGAGAGCGCCTGGCTTCCTGCACCAGCGCCTCCGCAGGCGCGCCTTTAAAGAGATCCGCAGCTCTGCGCAAAGGTCCTCGGCTACAGGTTCTACTGTGGGATTTGGCCTTTCAAGCAAGCAACGGGGTGCCTATAGCGGATCAATGGGGGCCTCCGAGACGCCTAAGGAAAGCTCAGCAAAGCTGGTAGAAGTTGCTCAGCCACAGGGCTCGGAGCTAGACGGGCGCTCGCGAGGAGGAAGAGAGGATGGCAAATCCGAGAGCTTAGAGGGACTTAATGCTTAGCAAACCTGCTGCTTTATTGGGATCTGCCTGCCTGTGTATAAAATCTCAATCCACCCTGGCGCTTCTCCAAGTTGCCGCCTTTGTACGGTACAGCCTGCTTTGGCTGAGATCCCTCTCGCCTTGGTATTAATTAGTAATCGTCTGTTTTAAGGCTGGTTTTCATTTATTTCATGTGATTTTATTTCCGGGATGCCTCTCGGGTTCCAAAGTCTTACGAGATAATTTGCTACCATCATCATCAACATCTTCGTTTATAGACCGATCATGCGAAGTCGCGCTCGGACCGGGTTGGCGGGGTTTATCGCCCGAAGAACGCGCGCCGAAGTCGATCGCGGACGACTGAGGTCCTCCCGGGGAGGATATCGGGTGGCGGAGAATCGGACTTGGAACTCGCCGGCAGACACTCTCGCGTCTCTCGAAGGCTGCGCTGAGATTCGGGTTGGAGCAACCGTTTCCCGAAATAAGTGGGGAGTGGGACTGAATTTAAAGACCGGAACCGATCGGAGCTGTTGGTCGGCCGCTGTTCTCCGCGGTGTTGCGCCTAGCTGAAGTAGCCGGATGAATTTATCCTCGCTCCCGTGGAAACAATCCGGCGTTTGGTGTTTTTTTTTGCTCCTGATGCAGACGGAAACCCGTACAGAGTGATGTGCTGGCCTCTCCTCGGTCCCTACTTGGCCGGCGTATAATCTCGGCGAGGGAGGAAAACGTCCGGGCGTTCTGCCTATAAAGCTTGGCGCTTTTAATGATCCAAAGCTGGGTTTTATCCCTAGATTATTATATAACCTTCCCCAAACGCGATCGTTAAAGCGCTTATTGTCGCGCGTTTCAGAAAGATACCCTACTAGTCCGATCCCGAAGCGCGTTTACGCGGGAGTAAGTAACTCCATCGAGATTTGCAGCGGGTGTGCTCCCAAGAGGGGCGCTTCCATTGGAAGCCTCGGCTCTCCTGTTTGCCTTAAAGTGGAGCCAAGTCCTTAAAGTGTGCGTCGGACACATGCAAGTCCACAAGCCTTCCTTGGATCCGATCATTTAATTGGATCTGGTTTTGGAATAACTTCTGCATCTCTTTTCTCACCCAATTTCTTTGTGGGGGAGGAGACCTCTCTTAAATTAACACCCCCAGCCTTCTTTTCTAGTCAATCTCCATCCCATTGTCTGAATAATGAAAGCAACAGGTGTAGAGAAAGCATTCAACGATGGAGTATCCTCCCCCAGAGGTTGTTGTTATCGTTGGTTGAATCATAGGCAACTCCTGGTGAATCAGCCAAAAGAACCAAACACCAAATGACCCTAAAACTTTCTAGCAGAATAAGAAAACGATATCCATTACACAGGTGGACAAATCCTTTCCTATCAATGGAATCAATAGGATGATGCGCATCCACAACAGGGAGTTATTCTTGGAGAACTGTGACTGCAAACATTGAGCTGGTGTTTTCATGTGCTCTCAGCTCTGGTCTTAAACCAGCTAGTGCTCTGCGAATTGTCCCTTCATGTTACAGTAAGTGTCCTGGGTCCCAGGCTGTTCAAAACTGAATGAGACCTGGAAAGGTAGAGGAGTAGCTAAGAGTAGTCTGAGGGGCTTGTTTCAGAGACATTGGCAGTGCTTTTTTCTTTAGGTGGTCCAGAGAATTTGCCTTTCAATGACAGCCAGAATAGCCAGGCAATGGTACATGATATTTGAGATTTCCCCAGCTGCCATTCTCCTCCTCCTTTTGAGCTGTGGTTGCCCTCTTATAGCATGAAAACTCAGCTTTCTTTAAGGTCAATTGTAGCCTTCAGCCTTTTTCCTTATGCAGAGTCTTCCATTCTGAAATCTGTTTGAAGACGGGTGCTTGCTTGTGCAATGGGCTCATGGTGACGGAAACATTGACTGAAACATATAGGGCAGGGCAAGGGGGAGTTTCCAGGGAGTTCCTCAGAGAAACCTCAGAGTTTATATGATACTTAATGCAGAAGCTCCTGCTCTTGTATCATCCAGGTGGACTGGCTGTCACTGAATTAATCAGTACAGACTTCTTTGTGAACATTTAGACCAACTTCATGAAGATTCACCAGCCACCTAAACCAGTACAATCCCAAAGCTGTGCATAGAAGTAGACCCTGTTTTAAATAACTGGACTAAAATGCACCTTATTACTTCAGTAGATTTCTAAATGCGTTGTTGTATTGTAGAAACGAAGTGTTGTGTTTCCAATGAAACTGAATTGCTAGCTAGCATCACCAAATGAAAATTGCCTTTGCTGTATTTAATCACTGAGAAGTTAATTCAAATGCAGTACATTAAAACATTTTAAAAGTTGACTTACTGTCCGAACCAAAGTTTTACTGCAAGCTAGTCTTAAGGTCACAAAGGACCAAACTGTTTTGAGGTGGGGTGTCTTTTGAAACTGAGCAGTTCAGATTTGAGGTGGGTTTTTTGTGGGGGTCACTGTTAATAAACTTTAATAGTTAAAGAATTTAATAAGTAAAAGTTGTAAACGGTTTAAGACAGGCACTATAAGAATGATGGCACAAGTGAAGATAATGGAACAAGAAGTGATATGACCTGATTTAGATCAGGACCAGAAATATAGAATGCCATCACTATCAGTCATTTTCTCTGGGAAATTAGAGCACTAGCCTCCTTCTTCTAGATTCATAGAAAAAAATGAGAAAAGTTTGAACATTTAAAAGAAAACTGCAAATCTCTGTTGAGATTGGATTGCATTTGTCTTTATTGAGTTAGGAAACCTATTAGTTAGGAAACCTATTAAAGTTAGAACCTTACCTGCTCTTTCAATACTTGAAATGGTAGAGATA